AACGGGGCAGGGAAGAAAACATGAGGCAACCAAGAACCGGAAGCACATCTGTGATGTTATAAGCAAGAACTGTACCGATCAATGAGGATATGGAAAGGAAAAAAGCCACATCACCCGTCCATCTATAGCAGTATTTTAAAACCTTCAATAATTCTCAAAAATCTGTGATTTCTGTCGTGTCTGAGGACCATTATTAACTACAGAACATTTATCTGATGTCCTCCCTTAAATCCATTTCCTAAAAAAAAAAAAAAAAATTAAATGCCGACTTTGGTCTCATCCTAAACATTATTACCCATAAAGTCATGGCTTTAATGTGGTAATTATATTTTTTCTAAGACAATATGCATAGCTAGATCATCCTCTCCTATTTTGGATAGTGACGTATACAGGAATCTACCTTTCAGAAAAGGACTTGAGGGCAAATGGATTGAGCTAAAAACACTGGCTTATATGTGTACCTATGCATAAAACACGCATTTTAACTAACCTTCGTCATTTTATCCTTTCCTTCCTTCTGGTAAGGCTTTTCATAGTAAGTCAGTGGCCTAAACTGCTTTGAACAATTACTTTTCCAGAGACCAAAAGAAGCATGATTCAGTGAATATTTTGCTGATTAGAACATGAGCAGAAGTCCTGAATACTCAGGGATCACCTATCTTTTAAGTCCTGGTGCAAAAAGAACCTTTTGACGCAAATATATCAAACAGACTTCAAAAATTTAGAATAGCAAATGTAATATGAAGCGATTGAAAATGTTTTATATAGGTAAGGTTTTGGGTCCATTGAGATTTTTCTCAGCACTTTGTTTTAGTCTTAAAGAAACGGTACCTTGAGGCCACCTCCTCATTTCCCTTTGAATAAATCATCCTGATTTTCATAATGAGTTGCTTTTTTGGTGCAGAGCTGTGGGCGTGCAGGTTGGGGTTTCAAATGTACTTTAGTAGCTCCTGTCCTTCATTTGGGAAATAGTTACTGCATGCCTACAACAGCTAGCTTTTGGGTGCTGGGAAGACAATAGAAAGCAAAAACACGGTTCCTTCTGAGGAGCTTACAGTGTGGGAAACAGACACCTATTATCTCCCAAATCAATAGCAGATTGCCCCAAGGAAGTGGTGTTAGAGCTGGGATCTGTGCAGGGGAGAGAAGAGAATGAGCCAGGCAAAGGGAACGTCACTGTAAAGTCCCCTTCTGCGGTAGGGCAGGTTGGGGAGCATCTCTTTCCAAGGAACTGGAAGAATGCCAGAGTGGCTGGAGTCTGTGGCCGCCTGGGGCTGGACCACAGCCACTGTGAGGAGTTTGGTCTTTGCCCGATGGGGAATCACTGAAGGGCTTGAACTCCTCAAAAAAAAATGGAGGTTCTGTCAGCAATGAAAAAGGCAAAAGTAGGCATCAGGTACACACGTAACACCCCAAACATCCCTACCCAAAACAGAACCCAGATTTTCCCATTGCCCACTCTCCTAAACCTGCCTGTGGTTCACTGTTTCTCACCTCAGTGAATGGCCTCACTGTCCATCCTGTAGTTCATGCTAAAAATCTGGATGTCAGCCATATCTCCCACTTCATCCCTCATACCTAGTCCACGGCCAAGCTCTGTCCATCCCACCTGTATGAGTCTATCAGCGTTGCTATAAAGGAATACCTGAGGCTGGGTAATTCATTTTTAAAAAGAGGTTTATTTGGCTCATTGCCCACTTCCTTGGGGCAATTAGCCATTGATTTGGGAGATGACTTGACTGCATCTATTTCCCACACTGTAAGCTCTACAAGGAGGAACCATGTCTGTTTTGTTCTCCATTGCCTCCCCACAATCCAAAGCCCAGATGTCATAGGTATGCAATAATATATGTCAAATGAAAGACAGAAGCAACTAAAGTACGTTAGTATAAGAAGCATGGAACCAGAATCTTCTTGTGAGGACCTGAGGAACCTTCCATTCACGGCATAGGCAGAGGCCAGGAGGAATCATCCTGCAAGAAAGAAAGCAGGGGTCGGGGGAGACGCTGACAGGTTCTTTTTAACAATCAGTTCTCTCCAGAACTAATAGAACTCACTCATTACTGCCAGGACAGCACCAAGCCTTTCATGAGGATCAGCCCTCCTGACCCAAACACCTCCCACAGGCCCCACTTTCAACATTGGGGGGTCACATTTCAACACGAGGTTTGGAAGGGTCAAAGAAACTATATCCAAAGTATATCATCCCGTCTTAAACATCTCTGGAGTTCATTTGATTCTCCATCTCTACCATCAAATTCATGCGATTGTCTGTTGCCTGAACTACTGTCATGGTTTCTGGACTGTCCCGTGACCCTTGTTGCCCCTACAATCTGTTTTCTGCACAAGGTGATGTTTTCAAAATACAAGTCTGATCATGGCTCTCCTCTGCCTAAAGTCCAGGCAGAGATCCAGGGACAATCTCAGCCCAAGCCGATCATGACGGACTCATTCCACTTGCCATTGACTGATTTCATAGCGGCCAGAGACCCAGAGACTTACTTCTGGCCACTGAAACCTGCGGGCATTTCTTCTGCAGAGCTTCTGGGAAAGGCATTCATGTACCTCAAAAGGGACCACTGGCAGAAAGGGATACTTTCAATTTTGTGAAATCCTGGGCGTGCTTGGAGTATGGCACCCATCTTGCTACCAGCCTGAAGGTGCAATTCCAGGGGCTGCAAGGAAAGTAGAGCCTGAGACCAGGGCACCACCTCTGGAGCCCACCCTGCCATGGAGCGAAATCCCCTTGCGAAGTGAGCCGGTTTGAGATGGCTTTTCTGCCATGTGTAGTCTGATGCTGGTGTGTGTTTAAGGCATCTGGTGCCATGTGGGCAGTTGCTGACATGCACTGGACGCTCAGTGGAGAGACGTGAGCGGGAGAAATACCTATGTGAGTTCTTGGTGAAAACTGAAGGTTGGGGAAAGGATGAAAGCAGAAGAAAAAGCTTGGAAGAGGAGAACAAGCTGCAAAGAAGATGAGAGGAATTGGGCCACAGGGGTGCCACAGGAGACCACCTGTGGCCTGAAGAAAGGATTTCTTTCTTGCCTGCCTTTCTGTATTAAGACTCATATTAAAAGGCATTATAACATTCCTAAATGTGCCCTAAGTGGATAAAAGGAAGTGGCTCAGAAGTGTTTTCAGCTGGGGGAGGAAGCTGGGTTTCTGAACCAACCCTTGGGATTCACATCAGGAGTATTTGGCTTCCTGCCCTTTAGTAAGTCACTTGCTGGAATCCCAGAGGCAACCAAAAATGGACCAAACAATCTGGCCAGAGAATGCATCTTCTTTTCTGAGTTTAACACACTGAGGTAGTGTCAGAGACAGGTCAGTGCCTCTGGTGTCTAGAGAAGGGGCAGCGGCTTGCGGGGAGAGGGCTGTCGCGGCAGTGTGGAAGTGGAGTGCCGAGATTGGAGGGAGTAGCCACGGAGAGGCATCATTGGTAAAAACAGGCACAGAAAGCCGCTGGTGGCCACAGAATTCGGCTGGGGAGACCTCCATGGGAAAGGAGACAGGAGGTCCACTGACAGCGTGTAAGTTAAAAAAAATAGTAAAATTAGAAAAGAAAAATGACCAGGAACTACGTTGCCATAGGAGAGGTTCTACAACTTCAGTGTGTGCCAGAATCAGCAAGAGAACCCGTGACAAATGTGTATTCCTGGTCCCCAGCCCCCAGTCTCCACTCGGATGCTGCAGGTAGGGCCGGCACGCACAGGTTCACAAAGCTCCTCTGGCTGCGCTAGTACCCGGGGCCGACTTGGAGCTGAACTCCCTTCAGCTCCAGCCTTCAGCTCCTGCACCGATGGAGAGAACGGGCGTTTCTTGACGCCACGCCAAGCGTCCTTCTGACCCCTGGGACCCTGTGGGCCCGACGTGGCGGCCTCGGGCCTTGCAGCACTGCCCGAAGCAGTAGGACCCTGCGCCGGGAGCCACCGAGCGGTCGCGCGGCCCGGCACGCCCCCACTGCACCCCAGCCCCGGCACAAGGCGGTTACGCGGCGACTTGAGCGCATAAACCTCCGGGTGGGTCGCCATGGTGACTGGCGGACGCCCTGGCCAATTGTGTCCCGGCGCTTGTTTATCTCCGCCCCATCCCTCCTCGGGGGACCGATATTTCCAAGACTGACAGGCCGTTCCGGGAGCTGTTACGTAAGGGGAGGATCAATTGCAGCCCCACCCAAACCGGAGTGATTTGATTGGCAGGACGGAGTGCTATCTCCCCAGCGCCCCCGGAAAAACGTCCTTGACGGGCAGGTGTGAGAGCCAGTTGGCGCCAGGAGGCAAGGCGGAAGCCTTGGGCCCAGGGGCGTGCGGCAGGGGGCGGAGCCCGGCGCCGAGGGCAGGGCAGGGTGGGGCGGGGCGGGGATCAAGCTGGGGCTGGGCTGGCGCTGCGGCCGGAGATGCTGTCGTACCGCGACGGCGCTCGGCAGCCAAGAGCTCTGCATTGAAGGCACCGGGGTGAGACGCACTGCCCGGTACGGTGGTAGGTACGCGAGGGCTGAGGCATCCGTAAATCTGGCCGCCAGCCTCCGCGGGCCTGGCATTTGTCCGTCCTACTGGGCGCTTGCGGCTCGGCAGCGACGGCGGCCGCGCTGGGACATGGAGGCGGGGCCGGGCACCTGTGCGCGTTTGCAGGCACCTGCTGCGCTGGCCGCCTCACAGCCGGGCACTGCTGCTGGGGGCTGCGGCTCCAGCTGGGCCGGGCCGGCAGAGGGAGAGAGGCGGGCCCTCCTGGCTCGCCCCGGCCAGTGCTCGCCCTCCCCGGCTGGGTCCCGAACCCGAGCCTTGGCTAAGGGGGTGTCGGCGAGTCCCAGAGCCCCTCACTGGAGGGGCGTGGGATTCCCGGGCCAGCTTCGAACTAGCTGCAAGTCCAGGACAGGGCCCCCGTCTTGCATCACCTCGAGACAGGTTTGTCCAGATTCCCTGCGTGCTCAGAGGCTGGTTTCCGCCCGCGGCGAGGGTGCCGGTCCGATGCCGCCGCGGGTCCCGGCTGTCCCCAGCGAGCCTAGTCCGGGCGATTTTCATCTTTTTCTGGCCCCTGCTCTGTCGCCTCTTAACGTGGAATTTCAAGTCTGATTCGGGGTGATGTGAGTGCACCGTGACACACACAGTAACAGCAGCACTCACGTTTTAGCTCTGTCCTGCGCTATCATTCGCGCAGACTGAAAACCCAGACTTCTCAGCTGGCTGATGTAAAGGACTGTAGCCGTGGCCAAATAAGCAGAAATTCTAAAATTGTTTCCCAATGGCAAGAATGTAACCTATGTCTTGCTTCCATCTATGTCATTCCTCTCGGAATATGTCATGCTGTGCTTGTCCAAGACTAGACCCTGAAAAGTGTGCTACAGTTTCTCGTGATTCTTTTGCAGCTGGAAACATTGGATTGAAAGAGCCATAGCAAAGTGAGGCAGCAGTAGACAATACCTCCTGCTTAAAGATAGGCAGAACTGGGGACAAATTGTATTGGATTCTTAAAGGCAAAGTCAGAGAATCCTAACGTGTTAGACCTGGGAGAGACTACAGGTTTGCACCATCCCATTAAATATACATGGTGGAGAGCACCACTGTGTCCCAAGGGATGGGGGCCCTGTGTTAAATCAGATGTGTCCTAGAGGACATTGGGGTATTGCACATTACTGCTGAATCTGAAAATTAGTGTCTTTCCTTGAGCCAAACGGGAACATGCCCCCGCACATTTTTTATATCCTAAGTGTATTCAGTGTGTCACCTTTAAAGGCAGATTTTCGGAGAGCTGTTGTTACTTACTGGATGTTTTCCATGTTAGTGGAAGAACCAGGATCTTCATTCCTCTGATTTAATTACTGGGTGGCATTTTCTCATGGAAAACAAAACAGCAGTCACAGACATTGGCAAGGTTTGGATGACCTGGGTTGGATATGTCCCTGGATATCACAAGTTCATCAGAAGGCAAATTATTGCTGATTGGGGACATTCGGTACATGGTTTGCTCATGATCTGCTTAAGAAATTAGGAAAACGTTACTTAGTTATGACCCTTTTCGCCTTCAGCCTTTTGATTAGTGCAAGTAGGAATTCAGAGAAGGATCTCTGCTTTAAAGGTAACAGAGCCTTGGGGAAAATCACCAGAGCAGAGAAGTTGCTGTTCTTACAGCTGGGCTTGGCTGCTTTTCCTTTGCTTCTTTGTATTTTTAGTAAATGACCCACTGACTTTGTGACCTTTGAAGACACGCTTTCTTATTCATGGCTTGAAGCTTCGCCTGGAAGATCTGTACTTGTGAACAGTCTCTTGTGTGCCTCTGTTGCATTTGTCTGGATTGCTAGGCAGTTCCTTAAGTGCATGATCCTGCAGTTTCTGTATGTTTCGAAGTTGTAAAAGGCAGTTTCTTGGGGGATAGTACGGACAGGACTCAGGTAACCCCGTTTATCATCTTAGTGACATACAAGTGCTCTGCCTTCCCTGTTTTCTCATTTCTTTGGCTAACACTTTGCTGGAGGAATCATTTTGTACTCAAGTGAGTTGAGGCAGCTTTTAATTCAGCCTCCTTAGATCTTTATTGTTTGTTCCCATAACCGTGGGAACAGTGATACAGCTTTTGTGTATGTGGGTACAGTGCATTCTGAATCTGGTTTTCCTTTTAAATGCTGCAACTGTTGTCTATATCTTTTGAATTTCTGGCACCAAAGCGCATCTGTGTCACTGAGTAATCTGATTCCTGGCCAGGGGACCTGGTGCACAGATTCTTATAAACATTTAAAGGTGTGAAATAAATTAGAGCCAGAAAAGGAAGATGGTATAGAAGGAAACTATTTCAGAAGATGCCTGAAGACTCTTTCCTAGGTTTTTATAACTCTTTGTTATATAACATTATATTGTATATCTAGGGTATCCGATTTAGTTATTCATCATTTCCGAATTCTTAACTGTTGGCCGGGCATGGTGGTTCACGCCTGTAATCCTAGCACTTTGGGAGGCTGAGGTGGGCGGATCACTTGAGGTCAGGAGTTGGAGACCAGCCTGGTCAACATGGTGAAACCCTGTCTCTACTAAAAATAGAAAAATTAGCCAGGCGTGGTGGCAGCCACCTGTAATCCCAGCTACTCAGGAGGCTGAGGCAGAAGAATCACTTGAATCCAGAAGGCGGAGGTTGCAGTGAGCCAAGCAATCGCGCCAGTGCACTCCAGCCTGAGTGACAGAGCAAGACTCCATCTTAAAAAAAAAAAAAAAAAAGTCTTAACTGTTGGTATCGGCATGTTTCTATGTTTTCCCGTCTTGTTTTAAGGTAAAGTGAATGCTGAAGACAGAAGATTTTGATGACACACCACTGAATTTCTTTGTTTGGAATACACGTTATGAACCCTTTCTGGAGCATGTCTACAAGCTCTGTACGCAAAGTAGGTAAAGTTGATAAATTCAGTAAGGAAACCTATTTGCTTCTGCGTCTGAAAACAGGGTCAGAATGAAGGCGAAAGTAATCTGTCACGGTCACCTGTAATCTTGACAAAATTACCTGGGTTTTCTAGTTAAGGGTTTACTCTTGAAACATAATTATTTTATTGATTAAAGTCTGTTTCTGAGACTGCGATTGCATCTCAAATACAAATCGTTCTGGTCATCACAATTCTAAGATTATTTAGGTTATATTTACACATGATGATATTTGTGACATTGTAGTTTCTGCTAAACTTCAAGGTTCTATGGTTAGAACAGCTCTGGGAAAGGCTAGTCTAATATTATTAAATCAGACTTGAGGGGCACTAATTTTTCTAAATAAAATGATTTTTTTAAAAATATATTTTTATTTTAGGAAAGGTTAAATAAACAAGAAAATTAAATTAACAAGAAAATTAAAATAACCATAATCTCATCTCTAAGAGAACAAACACCACTATTACTTTTTTGTGTATGTATATGATATACATCTCTTCCTCACTTGTAGATAGATAGTAATGGCGTACAAGTGCAGTTTTGCCACACTGGCACATTGCATTGTGCTGAAGTCAGGGCCTTTAGGTGCACCCATCACTGGGGCTATGCATATGATACACTTTTTTATATAGCTAATTAAACAGCCTTTGATTGTACTTGTGCCAAGGAAGTACCTGTGAGAAGGTAGTTTAGTCTCTGACTCATGCTGACCTTTGTCTTTGACTAAGGATGACGGTTTATGCTGGTGATATTTGAAATGTCAAAACATACCCAGTAGGGACAAGATCAAAATCAGACCCAAGCAAGTGAGAATAGCTTCATTCTTTGTTTCTAACCCAAGTGCTAACAGGCAGTGACTAATTTCAGTCATCCACACTACTTTGAGCTTCTTAGACCTAACCTCCTATAGCATCTAAGTGCAGGGGGACTTTTCTAGCCTTGTGCAGTTGTCTAATTGCTTAGTAATCCCTTGCCCTCTTTTTGGGGCCACTAGGAGAAACCATTTCTCTCTGTGTTTCAGTTAATCCTGTACACAGTGACTGTATCATCCATATAGGATGAGTTTCCCTATACGAAAGAGTTTTCTCTAATGCTTTGGTCTTGCTTCAGCTTTGTCTTTATGTGACCTGCCTGCCCAAAGGACTTTCTAGTCATCTTGGTTATGGCGTTAGAATGTCCTTATAAAGGAGTAATTCCAGCTTTTAGGCCATGGAGCTAATGATGTACTCTTGTGATTTAAGAATCATCCTAACAGATACTCTTACAACTTCATCTTGTATAGCGATCTGAAGGTGAAGAGAAGACATTAACAGGGGACGTGAAAACCAGTCCTCCACGAAGTGCACCAAAGAAACAGCTGCCTTCTATTCCCAAGAATGCTTTGCCCATAACTAAGCCTACATCTCCTGCCCCAGCAGCACAGTCAACAAATGGCACGCATGCATCCTATGGACCCTTCTACCTGGAATACTCGCTTCTTGCAGAATTGTAAGTTCTTAAACAAACTATTTGGTTAAGTTAGGAGTGATCCTTTAAGGTGAAGACTGAAGTTTATTCCGATGGACGCAGTAGAGGGCTGTCATTTAATCTCAAAGCCCAAACCTGTCCCTCTCCAACATCAGCCTTAATAAATATGGAGGCTACTGCTGGTGATAGAATCTTTCTTAACCAAGACCTAAGTAGAGTTATAAAAATATCCTCTCTCAAAGATTCTCATTGAGAGCTTGGGTGAATAAGATTTAAAGGCAGAGGGTACTTTAATTTCCGTGTCGGTTTTGAAGAGTAAGAAAAGGAAGAGACTAAGGTTTATTAAGAACCTACAGTAGACCAGGAACTTAGTAAATCGGTCTTCATTTATATGAAGTGAGGAATTTGCCTCCTGAAGAGGTTTTTCTAGAGTTGGACAGTGGGAGAGTGGTTGTCTCTGCCTTCTTGAGTGAGACCCATCTGGAGGATGGTTCTCCATTGGTTGTCGCCTTGTAGGTGGCCTCCTGACAGATGGAGAAGGCCTAGCAGGGAGGGACCAGGAAGCCATACCTTAGGGATTAACAGTAGAAGGAACTGGAGAAGTTTTCTTGGAGAAGAGAAAACTTAAGCACATATTAAAGTTGTCTTCATATATTTGAAGGTCTGTCACAAGGAAGGATCTGAATTATTCTGTATGACCCCCAAAGGCAGGACTTAACAATTCTAGGGAAGAGACAAGTGGGCTCCATGTAAGGAAGATGCTGACTGGTCACCGAGGTCAGCACCTGGGCTGTACTTGAACCTGGTTGTGGAGTGCAAGGAGCTGTACAGGGTGCAGAGTGCTGGCAGCCAACCCACGGTGCGTGGCACACACGGGGGCTCCAGCACCGCAGATGCAGATAGCATTTCATTTGAGACTTTGTTAAAAGGGCACAAAGTTTGGAGAATTCTTAATTTCCATCATTTAAAAATTCCTGTGTATACGGTTATTTTAAAAGCATCCTTGAGCCAGGCACAGTGACTCATGCCTATAATCCCAGCTACTTGGGAGACTGAAGCAGGAGGAACACTGGAGCCCAAAAGTTTAAGACCAGGCTGGGCAACAGAGTGACCCCCTGTCTCTAAAAGAAATAAAAAATTTCCCAGCTGTGGGCCTATAGTCCCAGCTACTTAGGAGGCTGAGGTGGGAGGATCACTTGAGCTCTGGAATGTAAGATAAGCCTAGGCCATATAGCAAGTCCTCATCTTTTTTTCTTTTTTTTTTGAGATGGAGTCTCACATGTTGCCTAGGCTGGGGTGCAGTGGCGCAGTCTCAGCTCACCGTAGCCTCCACCTCCTGGGTGCAAGCGTTTCTCCAGCGTCAGCCTCTGGAGTAGCTGGGACTACAGGTGTGCGCCACCATGCCCAGCCAATTTTTGCATTTTCAGTAGAGACAGGTTTTTGCCATTTTGGCCAGGCTGGTCTCAAACTCCTGACCTCAAGTAATCTGCCTGCCTCAGCTTCCCAAAGTGCTGGGATTACAGGTGTGAGCCACGGAGCTCAGCCTACAAGACCTTTTTTTTTGTTGTTGTTGTCCAAAAAAAAAAAAAAAAAAAAAAAGCATCCTTGACTCCTCCCTCAATGTATTAATGTTGTAATGGTCAGAGGGTGTGAGGCCCCAGGATGACTGGCTGGGTGTGATTTGGTAGCAATGGCCCCTTTGGCTCTATAATGGAGGCCTTGTGTTTCAGGCTGGGCAGTGAGTTGAACAGGCCTCTATTGTGGTGATTAAATCTGTATTAGAACACAGAACTGCCTTTTCTGGCAAAGTAGATACATCTGCCAGCCATGTTAATATTGACATGCTGAATTTTAGCAACTTAAAAATGGACTAGAGAATAACTCAAAAATGATTAAAAATAAGTGAATGGCAAGTAGGTAATAAAAATGATAAACTAAGTCCTGATAAAATCGTTCTTGATAAAATCCAGGATTGGCAGGTTAATGTGGTTTAAGACCCTAGGTAAAATTTGTTCTTTTCAAGGTATGGTCTCAGCCTTACCTCTTTAGGCTCATAGTTGCAAGGAACAGACCAGAATGGTTGTGGGTGGTAACTAGGTCCCAGAAGAACCAGTGTAGCCGTTGTCTCAGTACACCTGTTGTTCCTTGTTTTCAGCACCGTTTCCCATTCCCTGGCAAGGCCCCAAGAGTGCAGGTGTCTGCGTTGGGGGTCAATTTCAGGGGAGAGCGTATGAGAGCTTCGCAAGGATACCTGCCCTCCCCAGGCAGCACTGCAAGCTGAACACTGCCCTCTGCCGAAGGATCTTGTGATTAAAATGTAAAATAACAACTTTGATCCAATTCCAAGAAACCTTAATTTACCTAAAGTTGTATTTTTAAAGTTTTGAATGATCATCCATGGTCACAAAAGTATCATTTTACAAATACTCTCATTGACCTCAAATGTACAGAACTTACTTCAGGTTGCATTATTCAGAATTGCCAATAGGCTGGTTTCCAAAATGATGTTTTGGAAGAGCAGATGTCTGGGAGGAAAACTTGATTCTTCACTTATCCCTGTTTGGCTTAAGTTCTTACTGTGGGACGGCTGCTGGCCCGCTCATTGCTCTGAGCAGCTGCTGTGAAGCCTGTAGTGGGCAGCTGTCAGGGCCAGGGCTCCGTGTCAGGTGAGAGATTGTGAGAACTTGGCCTGCAGGGTTTGGGCATCAGTTGCCCCTTGAGGGGACATTCATTGTCTCGAAGTGAATATGGGGTGGTTTGATCTGCATATGTCAGTTGTATCCACACCAGTTAATCATTCTGCTTTTGTTATAGTACCTTGGTTGTGAAGCAGAAGCTACCGGGTGTCTATGTGCAGCCATCTTACCGCTCTGCATTAAGTAAGATGAGGATTCACTCTTAATTTATAGCACATTTAGTTCCTCCCACACAAATTTAGGCCTAATGGTTTTATTTTTTCCTACAGTGTGGTTTGGAGTAATATTCATACGGCATGGACTTTACCAAGATGGCGTATTTAAGTTCACGGTTTACATCCCTGATAACTATCCAGATGGTGACTGTCCAGTAAGTTGGAGACACAGTCTGGCTTCTTTTGTGGATCAGCGAGGAGGGCGGAAAGGGCTTTCAGCTTTCCTGGTTCTTTTCCTGACCTGGTACCTTTATGATTTATCTACCCAGTAGTTGTTTGGGGGGACTTGTGTGCTTTGCAGCAGCTTCCGGCATGCCATCCTCCGCCTTGAGCTTTGTTTCTCTGCTCAGAGTCTGCAAGGGAGGCTGGCTGCTGTCCTTAGCACTCACCAGGTGAATGGTGATCCTCAGGCTCTAGTGGAGGGAGAGGGAGTTTTCTCCACTTCGTTGCAAAATTTAGTTTTTCAGGAACATGGCAGAAGTAGTTAAGTGTCCCTTTTGAAGCAGCTCTTTAGCTTTAACGTGACTGCCCTGTTCTGAAGCTCTTTTTATCACGATTTCAATGGGTCTCATAAGTGCCACTGCTTCCATTAAAGGACATGTCTCTATTTAAATACAGCGTTTGGTGTTTGATATTCCCGTCTTTCACCCGCTAGTTGATCCCACCTCAGGTGAGCTGGATGTGAAGAGAGCATTTGCAAAATGGAGGTAAGTAAAGGAAGTGTTTCTTTCAGTGATGTGATACAGCAAGAAGAAGCCTCAGTAATCACGCCATGTTTCCCTTTAGGCGGAACCATAATCATATTTGGCAGGTATTAATGTATGCAAGGAGAGTTTTCTATAAGATTGATACAGCAAGCCCCCTGAACCCAGAGGCTGCAGTACTGTATGTAACATTTGCTCTGTTATTTAAAATAAATTTGAAGATGCAGTGAAGTAGAATAAGTTGGTAACTTTTTGGTTTAAATTTTTAACACAGGTATGAAAAAGATATTCAGCTTTTTAAAAGTAAAGTTGTTGACAGCGTTAAGGTGTGCACTGCTCGTTTGTTTGACCAGCCTAAAATAGAAGACCCCTATGCAATTAGGTAAGTGGTGCAGCCCCCAAATAACTGTCCGCTGTCCTTTCCAGTACGCTGCTTCCTTTCTTCAGGTGGTCTCGGAATGGATATTTAAAAGGCAAATGCATAAGCCGTTAACCTGCAACCTTTGTAACTTGGTGCCAACTCAATTTCTGATGCCTCAGGGGCTCTTCCCTTAAACAGAAAGCTTTACAACTGACAGACTGTGCTGACAGCTTGTTCTCTGGTGACTTTGGTTTCCCAGAGATCCTTGTGATACACTTATTCATTCACATGTCAGGACTCTTCAGCTGGCAGTGTTAGCTGGAGCCCCTCTTAAACTGCCACACCCTCATAGACATTCAGATGTGGTAAAAGGAGGAAAACTGAATAGCGTGAGAATGGCACTATGACATTAGGGAACAGCATCTGGAAGAGTATTGGGAATGGATGAATTGGTGATCTTGCTCTTTGGCAACATTGGTACTGCTTGGGAAGGCAGTGGAGTATAGCTGTTAAGAGCTTGGACTCATGGCCAGGCATGGTGGCTTATGCCTGTAATTCCAGTACTTGGGAAGCCAAGGTGGGCAGATCATGAGGTCAGGAGTTTGAGACCAATCTGACCAACATGACCAAACCCCATCTCTACTAAAAATACAAAAATTAGCTGGACATGGTGGTTTGTGCCTGTAGTCCCAGTGAGGCTGAAGCAGGGGAATGGCTTGAATCTAGGAGGTGGAGGCTGAGAGTGAGCCGAGATCACACTGCTGTACTCCAGCCTGGGTGACAGAACTAGACTCCATCTCAAAAAAAATTAAAATCAGAGCTTGGAGTCAGCAGATGGACTATTTGGCTTTTGTACTTTTTAGCTCTGGTAACCCAGAGAAATTAATTTTACCCTGCTTTCCTTTCTTAATCTTTCAAATAATAGTACTTTAGGGGTTGATGTGAGGCTTAAATGAGATCATCCAGGTATGAGGGATAGTTATGTGAGAAAATTAATTAGATAATATCTAAAAAATACATGTTGACAACAAAAATGTACTGTTCTTTATTAAGTTGGGGAATTGGCTTAAAGCTTAATTACTGCAAAATGAATGTTTTAAAATTTAGTGACCCAACACATAGTTTTTAAATACTTTTCTCTTCCTTAAGCTTTTCTCCATGGAATCCTTCTGTACATGATGAAGCCAGAGAAAAGATGCTGACTCAGAAAGTAAGTGGATAAAATGTCTTCATTGGACACTGCTTGTTACATACAAGTAACTTTTTTGAGAAACAAGTTTGTACAGTGCTGAAATCTCATCAGTCATTTTTTTAATATCTGTTTTGATTGTGCCTAGAAGAAGCCTGAGGAACAGCACAATAAAAGTGTTCATGTTGCTGGCCTGTCATGGGTAAAGCCTGGCTCAGTACAGCCTTTCAGTAAAGAAGAGAAAACAGTGGCGACTTAAGAGATGGTGAATCTGGTGCACCATGCACTTTCCTGCTGGACTCTGGCCTAGTTCAAGCTGACCAATGGCAGAGGACTGCCTCAAGAGTAAAGCTGTGTGAACGATGACTGACTGCCAGTGTTTTCCATCTATGCATAGGTTCTAACAGCAGGTTTTGGAAACCTCTCTCTAAGTAATGCGTTACTTCTGTCAGAAGTGTCTTAGGGTGGTTATCTAGTTCAGTACTCCAAATTATTGGGGACCTTGAGGCTTAAGTATTTTTCTGAATATAATGCTAAAGGTAAGTTGCATTCATTTAAACTAATAGAGCAGACAGAATTCAGCACTACTTAATAGTTTGTAAATCAGTGGTTTCAGTTGTATATATGTTGGGAAATGGCGAGATATAGAGAGAGCAGGTTCCATAGCTCAGCACTTTTAAGTGGAAGATCATTTGAATCTCAAGTCTTCAGCCTGCACTGATTTATAGCCTGCACTGTCTTACTGATTTATAAACTGAAATCACTGAGAAATGTCTTTAGTTGAGTGAGAAGAAACCAGAACACTTGTTCCTAGTGTTGTGTTGTTTTTTAAACAAATTACTCACTGTATTTTTATGGCAGGAGGAAGAAAAAGTGTTAAAATGGTTTCTAATGAAGTCAGATATTTAAATGACGAATGACTAATGTGTTTAGTAGAGACAAAATAAACCAATAAATGATTGTTCTTTGCCATTTATGCAAGAAACTACCCTTTTCTCAATATAACCAAACAAAAGCTAATTTATAAATGCTTTATTGAAAAATACACTTATCTTCATATAAAATTACAGTAGCAGTAAGTATCTTGAGAGGTTTTATAAATATTTTTGCAGAACACTATTCTAATTGAACAGTGTTAAGTTCCATATTTTTCTCAGAGCAATATGAAGTTACCTAGTAACTTTGTTTATACTGATTCAATTTACAATTGAATTTTCTCCCTAATAAGATTATTAATTTGACTTGAAAACTGCTGGAACAATAGTGATTAATAAAGGTATGTATAGATAATTCAACAGCTGTTAAATAACATTTTCTAATTTGTATAAATGGTACTATGTACTAATAAAAACCTAAATTCTCCAACCAATTTTTTTAAACTGCCAGGAACACCCAAAAATATTTTAAAATATATCACCTCAATAGACATATCTTTTAGATAACTCCCTCCAAAAGGCAGAGGTCATAATTTTTCATATTAATTGCCTCAATTCAACTTGATTTAAAGTCTTTTCTTAGCTGGTTGATTCCTATATAACAAAAAAAACTGGAGAATTTAAAACATACTCCCAAAAAGGTGGCCATAGAGGCTTTAACAGTTTAAAAAAGTACAAAAGCATTAAAGAAAATATTGGATGTTTAGCCTGGAAGTTTTGTACTTAACAAAGTTCACATTGTAGAAAGTGCTATCACAAATATACAGCAAAATCTGGGTTACAAAATCATGCATTTTACTGCCCTAAAGTGCCGCCACTTATACAGGTTCACTCAGACATTGCACACCCAACAATCAAGCACTTTTCACACTGCACCACACCGAATGGGGAGAGGGAAGACGTGCACAAAGGGAAACCACCTGGGTGCGCTCTCCTTTCTTCTATTTCAGGAATGCAAAAACCACACGCTCCTACCAAGTGTTTTAGGACAGAATACCTAATTTTTGTTTTGCTTTTCATGAGGACTATAGCTGACCACAAAACAGGTAGGAGTGAACTTGAAACACGGTTCTTCTGTCGGAGTATGTCAACAGAAGCCTCCTATGCTCACATTTGAGTGCCCGTCGTTCTCTTGCAGAACTTTAAAAGAGCTTTGTCAGAGTCAAAGTTTGGATTCTAAGCAGCCTTGACAGTAATCACTGAATGGTAGGGGGGAAAAAAGGCAGCTGGGATGAATTAAAATATCCTAAGGATACTGGTGGAAGGAGTTAAGTCCCATTTCTCACCAAAATGTCCCCTTATGTTACTAACAGGCTGTAATTGATCAGCTGGATTAAGAAAAAAAGCTCCATAGTCTAGATGCATTAAAGGTGCTGCTGCTAAACAGATTTTGTGAAGAGTTTCAATACAAGAGACTAACCTCAGTGGGAACCACGGTCATTAGCTACATCTTGGAGACGGCGTAATAAGGCAGAATGATTTTCTGGGCAAATTCTTTTTGCAGGTGATTCACTTCCATCTTCCAAAAGAATTCCTCTCTTTTTAGTTGGCGTTTCTCCTGTGCGTATCATACTATTAATTTCTCTCAGTCTCTATGGTGGAAAAAGATACAAAAATTTTAAAATGCAAATACACACAGCTCAGTATTAAGTCGAACACTCTCAAATGAGTTAAATAGTTTACCTGGAAGAGTTTGAACACATCTATACACAAAAGAAACACACCATTTATAAGTGTATTTGACTTAAAGAAACAGGTATTTGACTTAAAGAAAAAAATTTTTTAAATAAAGAGAAAAGAATCACTAAGTTACATAAGCTGCCAACTTCACTCTTCAGCTGGCCGAGGCGGATGGCTATCGGAGAAGTGACTGAATAGTTCTATTTTTAACAAGCTCCTCCACAGGTGCATTTGACCTATACATTTCTATCATTTGTGAGTTCACAAATTTGCGATTTTTTTTTTACAATAATTATGTAGCATTACATTGCTATGTGATAGTCACTTAAACACATACCTTTTTCTCTTTTTTAAAAAAGTACAATTTTTGGCCGGGCACAGTGACTCAAGCCTGTAATCCCAGCACTTTGGGAGGCCGAGGCGGGTGGATCGCGAGGTCAAGAAATCGAGACCATTCTGGTCAACATGGTGAAACCCCGTCTCTACTAAAAATACAAAAAATTAGCTGGGCATGGTGGCACGTGCCTGTAATCGCAGCTACTAAGGAGGCTGAGGCAGGAGAATTGCCTGAACCCAGGAGGTGGAGGTTACGGTGAGCCGAGATCACGCCATTGCACTCCACTGCAGCCTGGGTAACGAGCGAAACTCCGTCTCAATTAAAAAAAAAAAAAAAAAAGTACAATTTTATACAGTATTCCCTTTCTTCAGTCTAATGTTACTCATTTTTTAGCAGGCATCCTCAACTGGGATTTCACTAGAAAAGTAGACCTTAATTCCCTAAGGCATCCATTGTAGGTAATAAATTAGTAAAATCTAGAATGGTACTAGTTAGCTATATATCATCTTTGGGAGATCTGAGGAAAGTTACTCAAATTATTTTCTGGGCAGTGGCTCAGATGAGGAGCTGCAATTGAGAAAGACACTGCCAGAGTGCCAGAAAGACTGGCTGGCTGTACAGTGCCGTTAGCATTCAGTTCCTTAGGGCCCTAAAAATTATTTTTTGGTAGTCTGTTTTTTTTCTGGTAGTCTGTTGGTTAAAATTCTTTTTCATGTTCTGCTTCATCCATGTTTCCTTACAGAAAGCATACTAAGCAAATTCACAGACCTACATTATAGGAAATTGCAAACATACAAAATAGAGAAGAAAGCATAATGCACCCTCACATGCCTACTCCTCTATTTCAGACGTTTCGCCAGCCTTATTTGATTTATACTCATTCACTTCCATCCCCCAGACTATTTTAAAGCACGTCCCAGACATATTTTATTCATGACACTTGAATTTTTATTATTTTTATATATTTATTTACAATTTTAACACTTTTTATTACTTTAGTAAACATTTTGGAGGTTTTAAAAAAAATCAGTGTTCTTTATTATCAACAGATGTACCTTCACAAGGGTTTCATTTAAAAAAATATATATATATTAACAATAGAAATGGGGTTGCACTGTGTTGCCCAAGCTGGTCTTGAACTCTTGGGCTCAAGCAATCCTCCTGCTTTAGCCTCCCAATGTGCTGGGGTAACAGGCATGAGCCACTGCACTTGGCCACAAAATCTTAAGCTTTCCTTCAGCCTTTTCTCTTCTAGCCCCCTTTCTGCCTTCCTAGGAGTCTGGTCTGCATTTGCTGTCTCTGCAGTGTCCCATTTGCTTGAATATTTCTTACACTGTTTACTGTATACATTGTTAATTGTGTATAATCTATACATTGTATTACAATGTATAATTGTATATCATAATGTAGCACAATATGCATTGGTAATTATGTATATAAAATTTATGTATACATGATGTTTTATATATCACATACACTATAGTTTAAACAGGAATAAATTCTTATTCCAAAACAATTTCAAATAGAATACACCTAGACTTCTTATCTTCACCCAATTCCCAGAGACACAGCTACTATTACTGTTAATCCACTGAACAAACCAGTCTAGTATGTATCCTTCTTTCTAGGAATGTAGTCATTAGAAATGTAATACAGTATATTAAGTGGGGTTTTGTTTTTGTTTTTGTTTTTTTTTAGTAAATAACGGTATATTTTGTGTACCATTTGGAATATTTTTTTCAGTCAACATTGTCTTTCACCTTCCTCTGTCAGTATGTATGGATCTGTAACATCTCTTCAACTTCTGTATATGCTTCTCTTGTATGTCTGTATTATAGGCTAATCCCCTATTATTACTCTAAGCAATGCTACCATAACTTATTTTTCAACAAGTTGCACCAATACACTGACATTGCTGTCAAGTATCACTAAGGATCAGTCTTCATCTTAACCCATCTTGCATGGTATTTGATGATTCTTTTCTCAGAGTAGTATAAATGTTAGTACACTATAGTTTGGTTCTAGAGATAAGCTACTTCTTGCTTTGTAACATTCTCCCCCGAGGTCTCAGCTCTCACCTATTAAGATGACAAATATTTCTCCAACCAACAGTCTAATAATTGCTATCATTTTACTGGACAGACTCCCAATTCCGTGCTAGAAATACCTACAGTCATAAAACAGTTGCTTTCCTCTGAAAAATTCCCTCATACTCCCTTGTAGTCAGCCTACCCCAAACCACCACTGATGTACCTGTCCATACAGTTTTGCCTTTTCCAGAATATTACAGAAATGGAATCCTATACTAAGTAGCCTACTAAATCCAGTCTTTCACTTAGCGTTCATGTATTTGAGACTTATCTACACTGAACGTACCAGTTCCTTTTTATTGCAAAGTAACAGTCCATTGTCTGCATGCACCGCAGGCTTACTTATCCATTCACCAGCCAAAGGACAGCTGGGTTATTTCCCACTTTTTGGCAATTAGGAAGAAAGTCACTATAAACAGTCATGTACATGGTTTTGTCTAAAGAGCTTCCATTTCATTTGGGTAAATACCTCAGAATGAGATTGCTGGTTGTATGCTAATGGTATGTTTAAGAAACTGACAGCTTTCCACAGTGGTGATGCCATTTTGCATTCACACCAGCAGTATATAAAATTGCTCCACATTGTTGCCAGAACTTTTGATTTGTCATTGTTTAGATTTTAGCCATTCTAAACTAACAGGCATGTAACAGGTGAAGTGTGTTCAAATCTTTTGCTGACTTTTGCATGTGGTGGTTTTCCCACTGAATTTTGAGAATTCTTTAGATACCATAGATACACAAATGCTTCATCAGATATGCAACTTGTACAGATTTTCTCGTAGTCTATGGATGGTATTTTTATTCTCTTAACAGTGTCTCAAAGAGCAGAAATTGTCAGTTTTGATAAAATCTATTCTAACAGTATTTTATGGATTGTGCTTTTGATGTTGTATATATTGTATATAACGTTTTCCCATAAAACGTGTTCACCAAGATTTTCTATGTTGTCTTCTAGAAGTTTTCTAGTTTGAGATTTTACATTTATGTGGCTTTTAGTTTTTGTATATGGTGCAAGGTATGGGTGCAAATTTACTATTATTATGGTATACGCATATCCAGTCATTCCAGCACCATCTGTTGAAAAAGCTATCCTTTACCAAATTGCCTTTGCCCCTTTGTTGAAAACCAGTTTACCATATACATGTGGTCTATTTCTGGACTCTGTTCTGTTCTATTGATCTCTGTGTCTATTCTTTTACCAACATTACTGTCTTGATACTGTGGTGGTATAATACAGATATTTTGTGTAGCTT